CCTCTGGGGAATCATCACCCCGCCATAGTGGCGGGCAATGAAAGCTTTGAACACATTGGTGCACTCCGTGTCCGGCCCAAAAATCCGCTCCTCCTGGTTGACCGGGTTAAGAATCCGCCCGACGTGCAGTGGGCAAGCCATACTCTCATCCCAACGCCGCTTCACAATCTCATTGACGCCCTTCTTGTCTCCCGCACTCAACACCCCATCCCCCCTCCTTCAGCAGTTCTGCCACATTCACAGTGAGCTCAAGCATCAGCTCATAGATGCGGCCCATCATCCCTTTCGTTGCCGAATCCGTCGCCCTCATGGCCTTGAACGGGAGCAGGAGCAGCCTCTTGAAGAGCTCAGCCGCTGGCCACCAGTCCTTATCCATGATCTGGTCGTGGAATGTCTCTGCAGCTGCCTTCTTTGGGCCCACCGCCCACTCCGCCTTCCATGCATCGCAGAGCACCATGGTCACCAGCGTTGACCGCAACTCCACCAGGCGGGACACAGCAATGTGCTGCGTCCCAAACCTGGTCCCCGCCGGCCTCAGCATCTGCAGCCCCTTCCCTCCGTCCACACCCCTGAGATACTGTCGGGTCCAATGGTGGCTGCGGGTGTAGTTGATGAGCTCGCTCGCCCGCCCCACTACCTCCTTGGCCCAAGCCTGCCGTCCCACATCCTCCATAAGGAGGTCGAGCACGTGCGTCGCACACGGCACATGCTCGATGCGCGGATTCTCTGCAATGAGGAGCCGGCAGGCGCTGTGGTAGTTGCTGCCGCCATCGGTGCAGAATGCCACGATGTTCTCGACCCCAACCTTTTGCAGGATGGGCCGGAGGAGCCGGGCGATGTATCCCCCGGTCTTTTTCTCCATCTTGCAGTCAATACTCTCGACGAACACTGCGCCGGTGTCATTGACCAGCATCACATTCGCCTGCGGCCTGCCACACTTGTCGGTCATCATGTCGCTGGCAATCGTCACGCCGTGGCGCTTCCAGCTCGACATGACGCCCGTCAATCCCCTCGTCAATCCGCTTGCGGCATAGCTGCAAGCCGGCACCACCCACGTAGTCGCGCTTTGGAGGCACATAGCTGGTCCCCGCGCGCGCGATGGACCGGACGGCGTTGCGCCAAAGCGGGTGGTTCGGCATGGCGCTCGGGAAGGCGGAGGCCGGCAAAGAGGAGGCAAATAGCCTCGTCCGCCGCCGCCTTGGCCGCTTGGGCGTCATCGGACAGGTAATCGGTGATCTTCCGCTTTCCTCGACCACTAACGGCGTCGAGGGCCGACTCCTCCGCCCTATGCGCCTCCTCCCTCGCGAGCACTTTGGCAGTTTGGAACGCGCGGACGGCAGCCTGCTCCTCCTTCCCTACCTCCTCGCATTTCCGAACCTCGCGCCTACGCATACCATCCCAACTAGTGATGTGCTGTGCGCAGCGGTAGGCCGTCCCGGTAAGGATACGGGGCAGTACTTGCACCAATACTTTTGCTGCTTGCCGTGCTCCTTATGCTTAAACTTGAAATGCTTAAAGATAGCGTGGGTGGAGTTCTCCAGGAGCTCGTCAGAGGAAGACGCAGCACAGGAGGTTCCCGCGTCGGTTCCGTGGGAACCAGGACTAGGTGAAGGGTTCGACATAAGCAACAGTCGCTAAAAAACCAGCTAGCTAGTCGCGCTAGCTTGGAAGAAGAAATGACTGAAGTTAGCGCGCCAGTTTACTTGTACCCTGATTTCGTCGTAGGAGTGAACTGCGCTGAACCGTGCTGGAGTAGAGTAGAGAGGGAGAGGAAGGAGATTTCTTTGGGTGTTGTTTGGAAGTCGCAGATTGGGTGGGATGCTGTGTGGTTGGGAGGGGCGAAGGGTTGGGTTGACGATTTGAAAAGCCAAATTTTCGGTTTGCGACATGGCGAAATCCCTGTGGGGTTTCGTCATGTCGCAAATTTGTCGCATCGTTTTTTGCGTATTTCTTTGCCGGGGCTGCCCGCCAAGAAATACGCTAGCGTATTGCGTACTTAGCTAGCGTACAGCGTATTCGTATTATACGCTAGCGTATGTACGCAATACGCTAGGCTGCCCAAGCGTATTTCTCCACTTAGGTCCCACGGCACCGGTGATAAACCTACAAGAGGCGGAATGGACAAGGGGGTAAGAAGGGTAAGGAGGAAGGATAGTTGAGGAGAAATGGGAGAAATGGGAGAAGCACGACACCGGTTCATAGGCTTCTGGAAGAGTTTCGCATCCAATAAGCCTTCCTTCGAAAAACAACTCCCCTTGAAGAAGGTAATATCAAGGAAATCCAGAGTCTACTGGTCAACTTGATGCAGCTTTCTGAATTGGAGCCGAAATTCGTCGAAAGTAGAGGGGGGGGCATCCCAGAGGAATAAGGCCATCGTCGATATAATGAAGGTGGAGTGCTGGTATGTGACTGATGACGCGACTGAGTTTCAGATCCAGGTAGCTCAGAAACAGGATGGCGAAGAAAACTGCTGCAGAAGTACTCATAGCAGTACCTTTAATCTGGCGAAAAAATCTGCCGTCGAAAGTCACGTAACTGTTAAACATTACCGAGCGTAGAAGGCGGACAATAAGAGGGGCAAGCGGGTGCCCTGTCTCGCCGAAGAAAAAAATCCACTGCTTCAATCCCGTCCCAAAGCGGGATCGAAGGATATAAGGCTTCCACATCGTATGAAGCCAGCAGGTGATAGGATGGTAGTCTCTAAGTTTCCAGCAGAAGTAGTAAACTCTGCGAATCCTACAGGTACGTTGGCTGACAGGTAACCAGAGGCTGTAAAACAGCATCCAGCCAACAGGAGACATTAGAAGTGACCCAGCAGTGAGAAGCCGCGATCGGTCTTCCCGCGAGGACCTTCTTGTGCACCTTGGGAATGGTGTAGAAAGCCGGGACTTCCTAGCCTCCTGTCGGCGGTGCAAGAAACGATTTCCAGATTCTCGCCTTAAGCAGAGGCTGGTAGTCTGCTTGAATGCCATAGAAGTCTTTCACAATTCCAGTAATCAGGACTTCTTGGTATTCGCGATAAACCTGCGTATCCAGGAGATGTTTAAAACACGTCTTTATAGAAATCCATGACAGCCAAACCCAGGTTCTTTTCGGCAGGTTTGAAGACCAGATTCTGGTTCAAACCCAGTCGCCGAAGGGCTGGTAGCAGTTTAGAGGTTCTCCTGGTATACTGTTGTTCGGAAACTGCTTTCACGGCTGCATGCTTGAAGAGTGAGAGTGCTGTTTCCACCTCAGCAGATGCGAGGGGAGGATTCCAGTTCAGCCGTTTGGGAAGCTTGTAACCGGGAAATTCAGATTTCATTGCATCACCGTTGAACAAGGTTGTCGTACGGACGTCTTTAACGAGACCTTCTAACTCTTCAGCGAAAGAAATGATATGACGAGCAGCTGGAACAGGGATAAAGTTGAGACCCATGCCGAGGATTTCTGCTTCAGTGGGAGAGAAATGGTAACTGGAGAAGTTGTGGTAATCCTTGTTGCTGACGCGACACTGCACTTGACTCTCGGTCTTACGACCAAAAAGAATCAAGACGTATTGATGGACGTCCGCGACTAAGGTTTCTTCCCCTTTCCGCGGCCGCTTCCGCCATTTTTTGACTGGTGATTCTGTTTCTGCTTCTGATTCTGATCCTGCTTCTGCTTCGGATTATTATTCCTGTGAGTAGAAGAGTTAGAAGCCTTGGAAGAAGGAGCAGCATACGGATTCCTGGAAGAAGAAGCGACATTGGAACCTCTGAAAGGGTTTTCCTGAATCGGCTTCTTCCCCTTGTCGAGCAGACGGTTGGGCTTGTTGACAGGTCCTTTAGCCGGTCCGGGACGTTTGTTTGAAATCACCGAAGACGCGCTAGTCTTCTTAGCAGTCTGGGACTTTGTCTTCTGACTCTGCTTCTGCTGTTTCTGCTTCTTCTGCGGGTTGAACTTCTTGTTGAGGATTTTATCAGCTTCGTGCTTGACGATTTCTCGAATTGAAGTGTCAACCGGTAAGGTTTCAGCTTCTGCAGGGGCTGCCTTCTTCTTTGCATCAACCTCCTTGGCTTTCTCCGTCTGGTGGACTTCTGCCATAAGAGCGTCAGCAAGGTACAACGACATCGAATTTTCAAATTCGGCCAGAATCGTATCCTTGAAAAAGGTGAGTTTGTCGATGAGTTTCGGGTGCTTGTCTCCGAAAGTGCTGGCCTTGGTCAGATCGATGTAGTTATTCAGCTTGTCTTGGAGCCATTGATGAACTCCGTTGGCGTCATAGAGAGCTTTTTCGGCAGCCGTCTTCTTCTTTTGTATCATAATCCCTTCAACGTTGCCAAGATAGGCCTTGCAGGCAGTATGAAGCTCATTATTGGCTCCGATCTTGATGTCTTCATAGGGACACATGAAGTCGAAGGATTTTATCCGAATGCTGTGAGGAATGTCGCCAGACTTAGCTTGCGCATCCATAATAAGATGCTGCTGAGACAAACTTTGGTGCTTTGCGGAATTCTTCTTGAAATCTGTGATAGCTTGATTCTAAGAATCGTTGAAGCACGGAGGAATCGGGTGCTTGTCGAGAATAGAATGATCGACGTCTCCAAGGAAGGAGAATCCGTCATGACGACATCCTCTGGAGAGGAATCCATAGGAATTGAAGCCTTCGGTGCGTCATTGAGTGGCATGGTGGCCGTTCCAGCAGGAGCTTGCTCTGTAGGACAGCACGCTTCTTGTTGGGCTGGACGGTATTCGTCGAATCATCTTCACCAAATACAACCTGCTCAGTGTTAGCTGGAAGATCGGGCAGTTGCCCTGATGGTCCAGGGTACTTGGTTGATAGTTGGATTTGGAGTGGTTGAACCGGCCAGCGCAGCGGCGATGTAAGGAGCGAGACCAATGGACCCATGTTTCTCTGGGTTAACCAAGGTGGTAATAGCCTTGCGAGCCAACGGTTCTGACACCCTCTCCCCCCCCCCACCCCCCACCCCCCCCCCCCTCTCCCCCCTCCCCCTCCCCCTTGTTTTGCTTGTCTCCAGAGATCTTTCCCACAACCGGCTCACTGGTCCCGTGCCTGCTGCCCTGCCCTCGTCATTAGACACCCTGTGAGCCAAGTGAACGCGGGTCTGTGAGGTGCTGGAGGGAGATGGGAGGAGGGTGAAGGGGGCATGCTGCTAGGAACAGAGCTGACTCTCTCCACTTCGGAATTGTCCTGTTTCAAATTCATTTCCACTTCAGGAATGTCCTGTTCCAAAATTCAACCTTACATAGAATCTGGATAAAGATCACATCGCTGTCATTTCCACTTGACGTGACGTGTGCAGCACATATGCAAACATTGTGCAAATTGTCTGAACAACCCATGGCCCCATTCCACACCTTATCGTTTCTTCAATACACAAGAATCTTGAAATGCACGTTTGGAATTGACCCCTTCAGCCTGCTGGATCACAACAACCTGGGCTCCATACCTGACTTCTCTGGTGGATCGGTCGTCTCTTACATGTGAGTTGCCTCTCTGCACTCAATGGATTCCCCCTCCCTCGCCCAGTTGGGAAGGAAGGAATCTGAACAGAGCAGCGAGCTCTCTCCTCGGGCCACAGTCACGTCACATCACACAGCCACACTGCTCCGGGGGAGAGGCGGTGTCACCTCTTCTCTCCCTCTCTACTCCCCCTCAAGCGTTTGGAGGGGGTCCACCAGGTGCAGCGGCTACGGATCCTCTGGTGCCTAGGGGTGCGCCACCTCGTTACCCTTTCATGCCTAACATGATGCGCGTTCACTCGCCTGGCAGTGTTTGAGCATCCCTCTCACTCTCACTCTCGCCCTCTCACTCGCCCTTCTCCCTGCCCCCCCCCCCCCCCCAAACGCCCCCTGCTCCCTCTCTCATGGCAGGGACCTGAGCCACAACAAGCTGTCAGGATCCATCCCAGTGTCCATCTCACGGCTGAGGTCCCTCTCGGAACTGTGAGTCAAGTGCACCCCACCGCTCCCACCTGCAACTCACACTGCAAATCACGGCTCTGAAACATTGTTGACCAACGGCTTCGACTAGGCTAGGAATTGAAGGGAGCTTGTTACCAGCAGCTGCGATGCCATTGTTGTACGTGCCCGCCTGGTGATACCCAAATGGTGTGTGACGACAATGCTGTACATGAACAGAAGCACGTTGCTATGAAATCTCACTAGTGAGACCAACGGACCCACATTTCTCTGGGTTAACCGTGGTGGTAGTAGCCTTGCGAGGCAACGGTTCTGAAAAAAGCTCGAGCTGTAGGGATGCTCAGAAAGTTTTCGATGGAAAACCTGTGATGAACTAGTTTCGGCTTATACAAGCCTTCATCAGCATCTGCTGAACATCAGAGCCTTGAGCTGTTAAATAGTGGAAGTGCGACCCGAGAAAATCTCGAGGGTCCACACCATCCCCGAGGAGGGGCCACTGTAGCCTAGCAATAAACTAGATAAGCGTAACAAAATCGAAACACTAAACTAGCATTTTCTTGCGGCGACTATAAAATCCTTGATCTTCTTTGGCAGCTTCCATGCGATTAAAGCATGTTGGCTGGAGAATAAACCCTGTGTCAGCTTGTCCAGGTGTATTTTGAGTCGACTCAAAATTGGCCCGAGGTCCGAGCGCTCCACAAGAGGATTGAGGAGGCACTTCAAGACCAAGGGGACACGGTCGGATTTGGTCCGTAGTTCAGCGGCACATCGGAGAAGGTTCGGTCAGAAAAACTGACTCGTTTGAAGATCTGTAGAAGGAATCGTTCCGGGTAACCCCAGGTGCGAAGACGGGCAAAGAAGAGAGCACAAGCAGCGAAAAAGTCAGCTCGGTTCGTGGATCGAAAAAGTGTTCGCCATAACTCGCTGGAAATCCAGATTCGAGTGCAGCCGGTTGAGGTCGCGCTGCTGCCGTGACAGAAGGAGGAAACCCAGATTCGAGTGCAGTGCGGGTTCTCCGAGTCGGAGGATTACGACCTGTGGAGTTGGTCTACAAGGTCGGAGCACAAATCGATGCATGGGGAGAGAAGCTGATCTTTAGAACCGAATATTGGAAGGAGGGCGGGGCGCAGGGAGAGCTGCCAGTGCGATTTGTGAAGATGGATCCAAGAAAGGCCCTGCAAGCCACAGAGCTACAGCAAGCAACAAAGGAGGAGAGAATGGCGAAGGGCACGAGAGCAGCCGAAAAGGGAAGTATGGAAACACGGAGACAGCAAGCAGGAGCAACGCTGGGCGAACGGCCAATTACGATAGTGGAACTCTTTGGAGGAATAGGAGCGGGATTAGCAGCAGCGCTGGAAGCACGATTGGTCGTTGGTGGAGATAGATCCGAAGGCCAGGCGCATGGCCTGGCATTAGACATGGGCAGCATGCCGAGCCTGGCTCGACTCGGCTCGACTCGACCACGAGCCAAGTAAAAGTCGAGCCGAGCCGGCTCGGCTCGACCCGAGCCGGCTGCCCGAAAATGGCTGGCTCGACTCGGGGTTCGAGGGTCGAGCCAAGGACCGGCTCGACTTTGGCTCGGCTCGGCTCGACTCGACAGAGTAGTGATGGTTAGCGTTCTTGACTAGAGTAGAAAGTAGGTGTTTGGCGGACCTAGAAAATCTAGGTCCTAAACAGAAATCGCCATCGCTAGTGTACCCTTAAAACGTAATTTCCCTGATAACCTAAAACACTCTAGTTAATGTCTGAGTGAACTTACGGAGTGAGATTAATGGGGCTTAGGCATGCTCGGCTGGCGTGGTGGGCGTAGGCAGCGCTTAGAGTAACTGGAAATCGAAAACCAGAAATGGGTTTTCGATTTCTAGCCGGGGCCTAGCTGCGCAACTCGACAGTCGAGCCGAAAACGAGCCGGCTCGACTTCGGCTTGCCCCAAAAAATCCCGACGAGCCGAGCCGACCCTGCGCTCGACCCTGAACCCTCGAGTCGAGCCAACCATTTTGGGGCTGCCGGCTTGGGTCGAGCCGAGTCGGCTCGGCTCGACTTTTGCCTGGCTCGAGTTCGAGTCGAGCCAGGCTCGGCATGCTGCCCATGTCTAACGTCAGCTGAACGAGGCAACTGTATGGGGATGGGTTCAATAGATCTGGTGGTGGTGGGCTGGGAGTGCCAAGGCACCTCAAGAGCCGGAAAAGGGCGGAGAATGGGAGATGCGCGCACAGCGTTATTGGACAAGCTTCTACAAATGCTGAAGTGGATCAAGGAAGGGGGATCAAAAGGTGCTGTTATGTGGTGGAGCATGTAGACATGGAATGGGACCGCGAGAACCAGTGAGAGCAACGCAAGAGAAGGTAGTGGCGGAGCTAGGGGCAGGCATAAGTTGGGATGCTGCACTGAATGGTGCAAGGGCACATCAGGTGAGAAGGTATTGGCAAAACGGAGTAGTGCCAGAGAAGCTGAGACTAGGACTAGCCGACCTGAGGAGAGATCCAAAACTCCTAGTGGATGACATACTGGAGCCAGGAAGAACGTCGGCTCCTGTAGAGAAGAGAGACCACCCAAAGCAGCTGCAATGCAACAAGCTAGGCGAGCCGAGAAGGGCTTGGCCTACCTTGGTGGCCTAGGAGGGAGCACGTGGGTTTGTGCTGGAAGATGGCAAGCCAGGGCCAGGCATGGTTTATGACAGAGAGAGAAGGCAGCGGGAGGAACCAACGTCGGTCGAGCGGGAGTTGGCAATGGGCTACATACCGGGGGCAACAGCAGCACGAGGGATACAGGAGCAAGAGCGCAGGGCCACCCTGGGGCGGGCAATGGATCAGCATGCACCACAGTGGCTGTTGAACGAGATAATGCAGCAGCGGCACAAAAGGGAGTCGAGCCAGCAGCAAGCAGGAGAGAGCAGTAGGCCTATCAAAGCAAGCCGAGCATACCTGACGCAAGAAGAAAAGCAAGGAGAGGCAATAGAAGATAAAGGCAAGACCACCTTTCATGGAGTGGACGGCCTGTACGAATGGAACGTGATGCCGTTCGGGCTAAGGAACGTTGGAACGTGTGTTCCAAAGAGTCATGGATCAAGCGTTGAAGGCAGTGCAAGCAGCAGCGTGCTACATTGACGACGTGGTGATCTTCAGCAAGAGTGAAGAGGAACATGCCGAGCACCTGGAAGCGACATTGGACGCTATAGCAGACGCAGGGCTTACTTGTCACCTGGAAAAATGCAAGATAGCCAGAAGAACAGTCGCCTACCTGGGATTTGAAGTGCAATGCGGGATGGGGATTCAAGAGGCCAAGGTGGCAGTGCTAGTTAAGCTCGGGGCACCAAAAGACAAGGGAGCACTGAGAGCACTCCTGGGGTTCCTGAACTATTACAGGCGCTTCATCCCCAACTTCAGCAAGAGAGCATACAGGCTGAATCAGCTGCTGAGGGGCAAGAAGTGGGAACCGGAAGAGGAGCAGGCGAGAAGGGATTTGCTGGAGGCCATCAAAGCAGGAACGGTACTGCAGCTGCCAAAGAAAGACGCCCCACACGGATTGGAGCAGCAATGACAGAGGATGCGGCAGCAGTGACTGCAAGGGCGAGGAGTAGAGGAGGGCACTATCGATGGTTTCAGAGTCAGATGCAGCTGCGCACGACGGAGGGATGGAAAGTGGTGCCTAAGCCAGAAGTGAGAGAGAATATCGTGCAGCAAGTGCACGAAAAGCTGGGGCATTAGGGGGGAGCCAGGACAAGGCAGCTACTATGCACTACCTACTGGTGGGCAGGAATGAGAAGAGACGTGGCGCAGTGGGTGCAGGTGTGTGAGGTATGCCAGCGAAACAAGGCAGTGCTGGAGAAGGGCAGGGAAGACTGCAATCACTGCACATACGCGGCTTAGGATTCAGGTGGTCCTTGGATCTGGCCGGGGAATTACCGTTGTCCAGGCAAGGGAAGATGTACATTGTCGCGATGATAGAGCATACGACAAAGTGGGTGGAGGCAAGGGCCATAGCCAGCAAGAACAGTGGGCTGATCCGAGAGGCATTTCTGGACCAAGTACTCACCAGATTTGGGGCATGCGGGGAGTTGCTGACAGATCAAGTCACGGAGTTACAAGGCAGCTTTGCAGAGCTCTTAAAAGAAGTAGGTATCACTCAAAGAGTGACATCGCGGTACCATCCTCAGTCCGACGGGTTGACAGAGCGGATGATACAGACGATCTAAAGAGGATTGCGGGTGTATGGAGAGCAGAAGAAGAGAGAGTGGGATGCTGAGCTGCCATGGGTGCTGGCGGGCTATCGGTTCGCAAAGCAATCAGCTCTGACGGACATGTCCCTGTACCACTTGCTGTACGGAAGAGAGCCAGTGCTGCCCGTGGATGTGCCCACGCTCCTCACTGAGTCAATGAAGGAAGAGTCGGCGGAGGCATGGGCGGCGGCGGCTGTGCGAAGAGGGGAGTACTTTAAAAAAAAGTTGATGTCGGCAGCGCTAGAGAATCTGCATACAGCGCAGCTGAGAGATGCACGCAGATACCGGTGATAACCTACAAGAGCTTGGTCCCACGGCACCGGTGATAACCTACAAGAGCTTGGTCCCACGGCACCGGTGATAACCTACAAGAGCTTGGTCCCACGGCACCGGTGATAACCTACAAGAGCTTGGTCCCACGCTAAGTGGAGAAATACGCGTCCAGCGTATTATACGCAAGCGTATTATACGCTAGCGTATATACGCAAGCGTATTATACGCTAGCGTATATACGCTGTACGCTTCATTATGGGATTGGATACGCTAGGAAATACGCTCTGGCGGGCAGGTATAAAAACAACTCGGGCAGGGGTAAAAAAAACCTGTTTGGGGAGGGAAGAGGGGGGGTTCAGAGCACCAAATTCTCCCCACCAAATGTGGCATCATTTAGCATGGTAATAAATAAATAGTTCAAGCCACCAAGGGCATGTCAAGGGTTCCAAACTCCAACAACCAGCCAACCACCCATCTCAGGTAAGCCTCCCCCAAACCGCCCGCCTAACCCTCTCCTGCTCTGCTCTACAGG